CCCCTTTAAAATGGGTTGCTAATCTAGGTGCCGGGTACTGGTTTAAGCGCTGAAGGGCTGTAACTAGTTTAACCCTCAGAACACCCTAGGAGGTGAGTTTCCTTATCAGGCCTATTTGACAATAAGGATCACAGTAAGGATCACGAAATGAGATGACCCAGAGAAAATCTAGAACAGTACCTGGCACATCACAGGTGCCTGATAAGTTGGAACGGTTATCCTCACAGAGGCCCGCCCCTTCTGAAGCCCTGTCCCTCAGTGCAGGGAGGCAGGCCTGCTGGCCCAGGCTGCTGAGGCTCCCTGCCCCGCGCGGAGGCCCTGAAGGCGGCGGCGCTGCGAAAGCAGGAAGCACTGTCCAGTGTGCAGCTGTTGGCCGTAGCCCCAAGGCCACATTTCAGAATGGTCCTCTGATGGAGGAAATCCTGCCTTCACACCCAAGTTGTGGGGCTGGGATGCTGGAGGGAGATGAAGGGCTTCGCGAAGCAACCTAAAACCCTCCAGTGTGTGGCGGGGGTGGTCTCCTGGGCAGCGACGACTCTAGGGGCTCCCTGGGGAGGGCCCACAGCAACCCAACTTAAACTGCCTGAACCGTGGAGTCATCTAACAGCTCAGAATGCTTCAGGAAGGCACAAGCAGGATATCCACGAGCTGAAAGAAACCCAGCGAGTGTCCCTCGCCACCACCCTGTGGACAGAGCAGGGCCGCTGCTCCAGGCCCAGCTCAGGGAGGCATGGGATGTGCAGAAAACTTGGGCCCTGGAGACATGGCCTCTGGTCCCAGCTCTGCCCTGACCTTCTGTGGGGCCTTGATTGTATCTCTGGTTGTGATTTCCTTGGGGCAGAAGGCAGTTGGAGAGCAAAGGATTTGGGCTTAGGCTGATTTAGGTCTGGGTTTCAGTGCCACTATTAGCTCTTTAACTTGGAGAAAGTCACATATCCCTTCCTGGCCTCGATTTCTTCAATACCTACCCATAGGGCTGCTCTGAGACCCAAAGGAGATAATGTTCCCAAAATGATGGGTGTAATGCCTGGCATGTGGAGATGCTATTGAGTGTCAGTGGTATTATCAGTAAGATGAGAGCACTGTCAACCCCAGCTGCATATTACGATCAACTGGGGAGCTCCTAAAAGGACCAGTGGCCTCTGAATGAATGGGTCAGAACCTCAGGGGGTGGGGCCCAGGCACCATCAGCTAGAGCTCCACAGTAGCTCAGCTGTGCAGCCGGGGCTGGGGACCACTGGGCCAGGAGGTCTCCAGATTCTCTTCCCAACTAACAATCTCTGATTTGACCTCTCTTCTCCTGAGGGCTCCTTGACTTTTCCCTCTGAGCATGAATATGGGAGGTTTAGGAGGTTCTCAGCACAGTGAGGGCTAACCCCATGGGTCTGTGTTTGTTGGTCAATACATTCCTTAGTTCCTTGTCCATCGTGGTCTTGGAAGATGCCCCTAGGACTCTCCTCTGGCCAGTCACAAACAAAGGCATTTCTGGGCTTCTCCCCTGAATCCAGCCTCATGCTATTCGGTCTCAAAGCTGTTCTGAGCTTCTTCTGAAGGACTCAGTTGTCCTTACAAGCTGTTCTCTTCATTCTCTGGATCACCATGTGCCTTTGCTCTTGACTTCTAAAGGGGGCTGTGCAGAGGGCCAGTGTCCTGAGCTCTCACTGCTCAGGTCAGCAGAAGAGCAAAGAAAGGGACCTGCCACCCAGAGAGTGGACCAAAAGTGTGGGAGGGAATGAAAATCCACTTTTCATTGTGTACTCATCACCCTGGTTGTATTTTTGTCTCATATATGAGCTAGTTTTATATTAAAGGACTAACCAGATAAATAAATAATGACCTGTGGAAAGCTGGCAGAGTCCATGGATGGTCTAATTCTGACCATGCCTTTGTGCAGGTCCTTCAGCAGGTTACCTTCATCTGTAAAGTCTGCAGTCCTCTGTGCAGCAGTCACTTTCAACCCATGCTCCAGCTCCCTTATGCTCCAGCTCCGAGCCCAAACCTTGCTTTGCTTTTTCCTACAGATTCAGGGAGGGGAAAAGATAAGAACCAAGAAAAACAGGTTTAGTTTTTTAAGTTCATCTGCAATCCCTCCACAACGTCTTCGGAATCCTGGCCAGCCGTCATTTCTCCCTGCCATGAAATCCCGTGGCTCTGGATCTGCCCTTCTGCCATGATGGGCATCGTCACCTGCCTTGTGATAGATGCACAGTGTTGATCTACCAACAGAATCCCTGCCTTATGTCTGTGCTCCCTTCTGCTAGGTACCTGCTGGAACAGGATTTTCCAGGCATGAGGATTGGGCCCGAGCCGACCACCGACTCCTTCATTGCAGTGATGCAGGGTGAGGCCGAGGGGGTCATCCCCGGGAACGCCCTCGTGGTGGATCCTAAGAAGCCCTTCCGGAAACTCAACACTTTTGGCAATGCCTTCTTGAACAGGTGAGTGCAGAGGGAACATACATCCTCACTGTTCTCGTTTCTTCTTCCTGGAGTACTAGAAGGGAAAGGACAGGACAGGGCCTTGGGAGGCTCAGTGCCTTTTCCATAGTTAGAGCCTCTCTGGATTGTCCCTTTCTTGCTGGGAATGTAACTGAGTCAGTCACCATAGAGTGGGAATGTGGGAGCTGCAAATGCTAGCCCGACTCCTCCTGATCAAGAAGCAGGGAGGGGTAAGCAAGGTGAATCACATCTCCCACATCTGCACCTCCTGCCAATAAGAGCAGAGAGCCTCCCAGCCTTTGCCTGGACTACGCAGGGGATTTGCATCCAACTGTTCCTGAACATTGTTTTTACGTGGTGGGAAGAGCCCTGGACTTAAGGTGGAAGCCCTGAGTTTGAGTACTGGCTTTCCTACTGACCTCACTGTGTGGCCTTGGACAGGTCATCTCCCCTCTTCTGAGACAAGTAAAAGCCTGTAGACACCAGGGTCATTGTCATGATTGAGTGAAGAAAGCTCTAGGGGATGCTTGGTAAGCTGATTCAGGCCTTCCTGTTATTATTCGGTTTAAGTAAAATGCAGTTAGATTGCACTTTTTCTGTAAATCCACACATATTTGCATGAGTATTGCATTAAAAAATTTTTAAACTACTTTCTCTAATTGGAGATATTTAGAGTAAAGGGAAAGAGTATGGGTTTTGGCTTTAGACAGACCTGGGTTCAAATCCCACCAAATAGCCCCATGGATCTTAGACAAATTACCTAACTTCTCTGTGTCTCACTTTTCCCGATTGTAAAATGGGAGAATACTATTACCCTCCTCTAAGGCAAGAGCACTGAGGCTGAGGCAGCCTTGTGGAAAGGTTGGCATTTGACAAGGGTGTCCAATGATGAGTGAAGTAACACTGAATGGGTAAAAAAAACACATTCCAAGTAGACAAACTGAAAAGGGAGAAGGAAATGAGAGAATGTGGCTTAGTGCAGGAACCCTGTGACCAGGGGAAGGTTCGTGCTTTTCTCCAGGCACATTCAACAGCGGAGATAGCAGGTGTTTAGACTGGCCATCGGCTGGGAATCTGCCAGGCATTTCCATTGCAAGGACGACAGGGAAGGGGGACCAGCTTCACTGCAGCCACTCACAGGAGGCTGCACCCCAGACCTCAAGTTCCCATCTCTGTGCCACTCAGCCAGCCCATGTCGCATCCCTCATCAGCTCCCTCCTTCTCTGTGGGAATTGCAAGCCCTCTCCAGTCACCTCACCTCCTCTTTCAGGAGATGGCCTTGCTTCCCCTTCTAGAGAAAATGGGATCCAGTACCCTTGGATCCATCTAGTTGTTTTTTTTAATCTGTCCATAAACAAGTCATTTGCCTGTGTCCACACTTCCTTCCACCCAGGCTGCGGAGAGCTGCAGCTGGTCTTTTCCTCACAAGACCTGACTCCTCCCTCATCTGTACTGTGCTATGGGGCATCTTCTCGGGGACCCTCTCCATCAGTTATTGCTTCTTCTGACCGCTTCACCCTCCCTTGGCTCCCCTCCTCATACGGAAATATTTCCTTTTGAAAACGCTGTAGCAGGTTCTGCTAAGTTTCACACTCTCTTTTTTTTCACAGCCAGGTTTCTTAGCTTCACCTCTTTGTGTCTTCCTGTCCCCCAGCCTGTGGAATGTGGCTTCTCCCTATCACAGCTGCTGTGTGAAGGTCACTGTGACCTCTTAGTGGTCACAAGCAGGGGTTCTTTCCACCCTGACCTTACCTCTTTGGTATTTGTCTCTCTCGACCACCATCCCCTCTCCTCCTGCCTCCTTAGCCAGGCCCTCTCCAGTCTCCTCTGCATCCCCTTTTTCTCTGGCTCCCATGACCTGGTGTCACCCTTAGTTGGGCCCATCTTCATTCCCCTGCCCTTCTTACTCCATATGCTTGGCCTAGGTTTTGCCTCAGCCACAACCCTGGGCCTAAATACCAGCCCCATGCACACAACCACATGGTCACCAAATGACAGAAACCCAGCTCAAGTTAGCTTCAGCAAAATGTGGGATGACTTTTAGAACACTGGGCTCTGCCATAGAAGCTAAGGATTAGACTGTGGCTGGGCCTCGGGGATAATGGAAACCATGGGCTTCTGCACGACAGGGCTGTGTCCCTTACTGTTCTATCCCCACTATCTGGGACAGTGCCAGGCACTCTGAAAATATTTGTTGAACTGAACTGGACATGCTGACAACCATCATATCTGATCATGTCATTCTTTTGCTTACAGCATTCCAATGGGTGTCTACTGCCATCAGTATAAACTCCAAATTTTTAATGTGACTTTCAAGGCCCTTGTGATCTGGCCCCGCCTCCTCCCTGTGCAGCCTCATCTCGGCCACTCCAGCCTCGCTGTTCGCGCCTCCATGCTGTGTACCCCCCTGGAGTGGCACACGCACGCTCTCTCTCATTTCTGTGCTGCATTTGCACCTACTTGTGTTAGTTACCTAGGCTGCCATGACAAGTTACCACTCAGAGCCTCAAAGCAACAGAATGTACCGTCTCATAGTCCTGCAGCCAGAGCTGGTCAGGGTGTGGCAGGGCCGTGCTCCCTCGGAAGATCCTAGAGGAGCACCCTCCCTTGCGTCTCTCCTCCTCTGGTTGCCCCAGGTGTTCTTGCTCCTGGAAGCATAACTCCAACCTCTGCTGCTTCTTTACGTGACGTCTCCCTTTGTGTGTGTCTGTCTTCACATTGTGGTCTCCTATCTTATAAAGTGCTGTTCTATAAAGTTGTACACCTGAAATTTATATACTGTTATTCACCAGTGTTACCCTAGTACACTTAATTTAAAAAGAGACACTGGTCTTATTGGATTAGGGGCTCACCCTAATTTAGTATGATCTCACCTTTACTAATTACATCTACAAAGACCCAGTTTCCAAATAAGGCCACATTCTGGCAACTGGGGGTTAGGACTTCAACAGATCTCATTGGGGGACAAAATTCAACCCATAATACTGCTCTTTCATCATTACCTCTTATCTCAGTCTGGAACGCTGTCTTTCTTCTCTCCACTACCTACACACATTCACACACACACACACACACGTTGGCTTCCTGCCCGCACTCTTGTCTGCCTGGAAAAGGCTGGTTATCTTTTGAAGTCTTAGTTCAAGTTCTGCCTCCTCTGTGAACCCTCCGCACCCCCTTTTCCATGTTTCACGCATTTCTGCCATTTCACATAATATACCTGGGAGAGTAAGACACCTTTTTAGATTCCACCAAAAATGACATATGAGAGATAAGGTTTGAAGTAAGAAGGATCTAAGTTAGGTTTATCAACTTGTATTTTGAGACTTCAGGATGTAGCACTAGAAGTGTTTCCTTGAATAAGGCTTGATGTCCATCCTGACAACAAAGTTTGATATTCGGAAAGCCCTTTGAGGCCCAAATAAATGTTCTGGGTGGTGTGACCCATTCGTCAAGGCCAGCTCCAGTGCTGCCTCCTCCAGGAAGCCGTCCCTGGATTCCATCTCTCCACCTTGGATCTCCCTAACCCTTCACCTGACCTTCCCCAGGTTGGCCATGTGCATGCCTCCTCTCTTCACCAGACTGAGTTCCTCAGGAACAGGGCTCGAGTTCTGGACAGCTTGGTGTCCCTGACAACGGGGGTTCACTGTGCAGGACCCTTGCAGCCCAGGGTACCCAGGGAGCTTCCTCAACATACAGGTCTTGGGCCCACTGTTGGGGCTAAGTCTGACCTGAGCTGGGCATCTGCATGGGAAGGCGGCCAGGGCAGGGCAGGTGGGTGTGTGCTGAAACAAGGGTGCGTGAGAGGCAGGGAGAGGGCAGCGGCTCACCACGGGTTCCTCTCGCCCATGCAGGTTCATGTGTGCCCAGCTGCCCAACCCCGTGCTCGAGAGCATCAGCATCATCGACACACCAGGGATCCTCTCCGGGGAGAAGCAAAGGATTAGCCGAGGTAAGCAAGACACCTGCTAGGGTTGGCTGGCTCCGTGCTCTGTTCTTTCTGGTACGTCCTCTCGCTTCCATACCAGGAGAGAGCCCTCCAGGCCTTGCTGTCCCCTGATGAGCTGGTGCTGCTTCCTAAGGGGCCAGTGGACAAGTTTGCGTCCACCATCACTCAGGAGACAGCTGGCCTCAGTCTTCCTCTGTAAAATGGAGACATCATTGTCTGCCTTACTTCCTTCATCAAGGTTATTCATGCTCATGTGGGCCAGGACCTGGTTGCTTCTGANATCGTCCTAGGCAGGGGCCAGTGGACAAGTTTGCGTCCACCATCACTCAGGAGACAGCTGGCCTCAGTCTTCCTCTGTAAAATGGAGACATCATTGTCTGCCTTACTTCCTTCATCAAGGTTATTCATGCTCATGTGGGCCAGGACCTGGTTGCTTCTGAAGCCCCTGTAGTCGCTGCCCCCAGGAGCTCGCAGTTCTGCGGGGGCAGCAGGCACATGCAGACTTCAGCTCGGCAACGTGGGACAGCATGCTCTGGGCCCAGGAGCAGGAAGCTGGAATGTGAGAGCACTTTGAACTGCTCACTTCAGACAGATACGGGGTAATTGCTCATTAGCGGAGGTCACCCCCAGGGCGGTTAGGAGCTGGGTCTCTGGAGCCAGACTGCCAGGGTTCAAAGCCTGCCTCTGCCACTTCCCGACAGTGTGAACTTAGGCAGATTTCTTTGCTCTGGTTGGATCATCTGTAAAGTAGGGAGAAATATTTCTATCTACCGTATAGGTTGTTTGAGGATTGAAAGAAATAGCACAGATAAAAAGCCTTCTGCCTGGCACATAGCAGTGCCCAGTAAGCATGAGGTGTTAAAGGTCATCACCATCATCATTATTGGTTTTCACAGCAAGACTGATGCTGTTCAAAGCCAAAAGCAGCTGCTCTTAGCTCCTCACCCCCAGCCTCTCCTGCCGCAGTGTGCTGTGTGCCCCAGGTGGCCCCCCTACCCTTTCTGTGCCCTGTGCCCTATGCTGTCTCTCTGGCGAGAAAAGCAGATGAAGCCACTCCCACCCGATAGTGGAGTTGAGAGCTGGGCTAGAGCCAGATCAGCACTCGGAAGTCAGCATCCGGGAAGGAAAGGCTTTGGACTGGCAAGAGTTCCCTGGGCAGTGGCTGGAACTCGCACCTCACCTGACCCGACCTTAGGCAACTGTCTGCTTCGCTCCCACGCTGCCTCGGCCCTGTGCTCTGTGGCCCAGCGGGGACAGACACAGATGTGTTCTGCAGGCTGTCTGCTGCAGCAGTAGGCTCAGAAACCCCCTCCACCAGGGGCATGGCCTGTAAGGGCCAGCACCCGCTCACCCCCATGCCCCTTAGGGAGAGCCCTCAGCCTTGTAGGTGACAAGCCAGCAGCTGCCAGAACTGGGCTGCTGTCCAGCACTCCTGCAAGCTGCTCCAGCTTCCTCCCTGGAGAAGGCAGCTCGAGGGCCCTAGGCTCTGCAGTTTGGGGGTCTGCTGTGGCTGGGACAGTAGGTACAGCCAACCCTGGCTGGCAGTAAAGCAGGAAAACAGTGGGAGAGGCCCCTGGGTCAGCAGTCTCCTCAACCTCATGACCCCCAGTCTGTCCTGAAGGAGAGACAGAGCCTGCTCCTCAGGGACCTCATTCTGGAGCAGGCGGGAGGAAGGATGGGCCGAGGGGTTCAGCAGGAAGACCCTGCTCCTCCCCACACTTCCATGAGGAAGTCATCCCTGGGAAGAAGAGAGGTAAGGAGGCAGCTGTGAAATAGTTCATGTAATTGGCAGCCCGTCGTCTATGTAAGTGGCATGTCAATAGAAGGCCCCCTGTGAAAGGGGTCTGACTCTGGGCTATATGGTGGCACAGTAGTGTCAGGGGTGGGGAGAGCTGATCTGTAGTCATAGAACCCACAGCCCTGGGAAAAGGTGTCTTCTGACCCTTCTGGTCTCTATGCCCTTTGCGAGCATCCTGGCACCCTGCTCAGGGCCCTGCAGAGGGGCAGCTTGGGTGACTCTCAGTCTGGCTTCTATTAGTTTCCCTAAACACCCCCTCCTTCCTAACCAGTGCCCACTCTCATCCCCACCCCCACAAAGATTTATCTGGGCTCATCCTGAGTTTAGGCCCAAAGGGGATTTACCATTTCACATGGGTAGCCTGTGTCTCCTCCAAGAGGCTCAGGAGAGCCACACTTCTCAGCCCGAACTCCCTAGCAGGCAGTGGCACCTGCACCTGCAACGCCAGCGCCGCCTGATAGGTCTAAAGGTTTCCAAGGATGCTGGGGTGCAAGTTCAGAGATGGGGTTTTAGAACCTGTGTGGGTCTCAACAGGCCACATTTTCTCCCTGAGCCTCAGTGTTCCCATGTGTGACGGAATAGTGACCCATCATCATATGACCTTGTGAGGTCCATGGCTGGTGATGGAAACACAGATCTAGAGAGCTCCCTTCTTTCCCCTTTATCTGCCATCCAGGGCCACCCGCTCCACATCCCCAGGGCAGTCTGTGTGCATGGTCGCCCTTTCAGTCTTGCAGTACAAAGCCTGCGCAGCTGCGAGTGGCAGCTCTGCTTCGGGGACCCCAGCCTTCCTCAGCTCCTGTCCTGCTCCATTCTTCTTCTACTCTTCTACCTTCTCTCCTGCCTTCATCTGGAGACCTTAGCGGCTGCCCTATGCAAACTGGGTGCTTGGTTGTCTTCGAGCCCTTCCTATCCTTTCCCGTCACTGTTGGGAGAAGTGATGGCCCCATGAGTGGCTCCCCAGGCCAGTTTGTTCTCTGCCCTCCTGAGTCCAGACTACAAATGCAGCTGCTGGCAAAAGCAGCCTGTGATGAAAACAGGAACCGGGAGCTGGGCCACCAACACTGCATCATCGGCCTGGGGCAGTGCTGGCCTCAGCTCTCCAAGGAGACCAGGAAAGTTGGGAGGGAACCACACACTCTCAGATATCGGGGGTCCCAAATGAAGAGAGTTGCCAGCATGCAGAGTCCCTTGTCCTGCTTCCCCACAAAGCTGCAGGGCTGGAGGCTCCAGCTTATACCTAAACACATAAACACCCACGCATCCACACTCCCGTCCACTCACTCTCATATATACACACCCCACAAGTGTGTACATAGAGCCAAACACACTTTATCTGGCTTCTGGCCTGGGGCCCTCAGAGCTCCCGGTTTGGCCGCAGTGCAGATAGGTACCTCTGCCTTTCCTTTGGCCGGCCCAGGGCAGGACAGAACCCCCTACCCTGCTGAGGGGTGTGCAGAGCCTGAAATCCAGCCTATATTCCGCTCCGCCCAAGCCTCATGCCTGGCACAGGGCTATGTCTCTCCAGAAAAAAGCACCGTTATGAAATTTGCACAAAGCCACCTCTGAGCCATTGGGCCCCACATGCCACATTCTGGAAAGTGAGCTGCCCCCAAGGGCTCCCCAGGCCTCAGGCTCCATGGGAAGGAGCACTCAGACTGCAGGCCAAAGCTGGACCAAGTGTGGTCCTTGCTCAGAGTGTGGCCCCACTGCCCAGGCCTGGGGAGGGAGAAAGCGGGGGACATTCCAGAATCCAAGCCTGGGAGGTCACAGGCCAGCAATTGCCTCTGGATGAAGATGTACTGGGTGGGCAGCAGAGGGCCAGGAAGGGAATTCCTGGAAGTGACAGGATGTGCCCAGCCCAGGACTCATTACTGGGAAGGAGCAAGGAAGCAACAGAAGTGGGTGGGCTCCGGAAGCCCGAGTGTCCTCACACTTGGGAACCACATTTCCCGGCTACACCTCAGCTAGAAATCCCCACAGGCCCCACCCTGGAAAAGCAAACCCTTGGACATAGAGCTCACATCCCTCTCAGTAAATTCCTTGCTGTACAGGCGAGCTCAGCAGTTCTGCAGCAGGTAAAAAGCTTGCCCAGATCCCAGAACTGGAGTGGGAACTCTGGCCCCAATTCCCAGTCTAGTGGGTTTCAGCACATTTTCATGGGCTGCCCAGGAAGGAGGCAGGGAAACATCTACAAGTTTTCCCTGGGGGACCTTGAGGGTCTGGGATGATCCTCACAGCCTCACAGCCTCACAGCCTCACAGCCTCACAGCCTCACAGCCTCACAGCCTCACAGCCTCACAGCCTCACAGCCCTGGCCCGTCCCTGGCACCCTTACTGGAGCAGGGCCTGCACTTAGGAACCTCCTGAGCCCCAGACTGTGTGCTGTATATACGAGCCTGTGTGGGCCTCACATGCTGGGACAGAGCAGTAGAGTCCCAATGCCCTTCCAAAGGGCTCGCTGACAGCCTGTGGACGTCTCCTGGGAGGCGAGTAGTGTGGCATTTGTTCCCCGTAGTCATCTGAATTCTTCCCACATTTTGGAAATTGATGCCTTTTTATTTCTTTTTTTGCTAAAATGTCTTTAAATCTTGAAAGAGATTTTGGGGGGCAGGACAGAACCTTTTATGGCCCCACCACAAGTAACCGCCTGGTCTGAGGGCTCAGCCATCTGAGCTCTAGCCTGGCACATGGCTGTGAGCACAAAGGGAATGTGGACAAGAGCCAAGGATCTGGGTTCTAGTCCCAAGTGTGCCACTGCCTGGCTGTGTGAGCTTGCACAAGCCCCTTAACCTCTCTGTTCCCTCTCCCTTCCCTATAAGATGTGTATGCCCTGTGTACCTCCTGGCATATGCAGAGTTATGAGGACCAAATGAGATCATGTCGCAGAAAATACAAAGAAATGGGCTGCCTTGTCCCTTGCATTTCATTGCAGACCGCGAAGGAAGCCAGTGGGTCATTAAGGAGTTGCCTTGCTTATTGTGTTTGTCTCATTGATTTCCTCCGGCCTGGCACGAAGAAATACTCTGTTTCCAGTCTGCGGAAGCATAGGGGCAGTGAGGAGAGCCCCAGGTCCCTGCGAGCTGCCCAGTCTCTGGGCCGGGCGCCTGCAGTGCAGATCTCTTGAAGCCAGCAGCTTGCTGTCAGCAATTCCGGGAAGGCCAGCCTCACTGTCAATCTCTTGGGGCTCTAATCTCCCCCACCCATTCCCATATCTTATCTCATGAGCCCTTGGACTGCTGCAGTTGCTCAAGAGCTCACATTGTAGGTCTGAGAGCCATTCCTGGGACCCGTGAGGGGCTTGTCACTGGGTGTCCTCTCCACCCCAGGCACTAGGGCAGAGCCAGACTGAGTGCAGACCCTCCCTCTGTGATCAGATCCTATTGCCATGGCTTTGCCACTGACCCCTCATTAGTCAGTTGTTATTCTCCCCATTTTACAGCTGAGAAAATTGAGGTTCATACTTGCCCAAGGCCAGACCATAAATAAATGAGAGAGCTAGTCTCATTCCCTTTTCCTCAGTGAGTCCAGCACATTCCTTTCAGCTGCTCCCATTCCTGGATGTACATAAGCTGAGTCCAGGACACAGTTAAATACCCATCCTGGAGGTTGTCCTGACTTTCTGAGCCCTCTGGCCCCCTTCCTGCCCACAGCTTTAAAAGACTGCCTTTGAGAGGCGAGAGCAGCCAGTCTACAGGGCTGTGCCAAAGGGAAGACTCAAAATATCCAGGAGCTATCCCTGGGGCAAGGTGGGGAGGGGAGCAGGAGAGCAGGTGCAGGCTGCAGACCCACCTGGAACTGGAATGCACAGGGCCTCCCAGGCTCGGTGGGAGCTGCTGGCTGGGCCTGCGTGGTAGGGAGGGGAGGGCAGGGAGACAGGGATGTGGCCAGGTGCTGGACGGCCCCCTGCATGGCATGTGCAGGGAGCTCAGGGCCCCATTGGCCAGGGCCAGGCCTGGCCCCACCCCTTGCTGGCTGTTGGACTCTCACCTCATCTCTGAACCTCAGTTTCCTCCTCTGGAAAGTGGGAATGATACTCCTCACCCCGCCTACCTCAGAGGGTGTTGTGAGGGTGAAATGAGCATCTTGCCAGCCAGAGCAAGCTTTGAATCTGGGGTTAGAAAGCTAGGTACCATGCTCCACCGCTGCCTCCTACAGCAGGTTGGTCCTGGCTGATTCCTGTGTGACTGTCTCTAGGTGGCACTGATAATGTCCCTACCTCGTCACTGGGCAGAGCTTGGCCCCCAAAGCACTTTCCTGGGCCCTGACCCTTCATGGAAAGAGCCCTTTTTCTTAAGTGAAAAGACTAAATAGGAATAATGATGTTAATAATAATTAGCATTTATTAAGCAGCTACTATATGCTGGGCTTCAAGTGTATTTAGTCTTTATAATTCTATTAATTAGGTACTATTAGTATGCCCATTGATAGATGAAAGCACACTGACTCAGAGACAGAGTAACTTGCTCAAGGCCAAATAGTGAAAATGGTGGAGTGAGGATTTGAATCCAGATCTGACTCCCAAGATGGTACTATTTCTACTGCACTGAGCACCTCTCCCCAAACCCCTAACCTGTGCCCCAAAGGTCCCTCCCCCTGACTGTCCCTCTGCCGGCAGGGTATGACTTTGCCGCTGTCCTCGAGTGGTTCGCGGAGCGGGTTGACCGCATCATCTTGCTCTTTGACGCCCACAAGCTGGACATCTCTGATGAGTTCTCAGAAGTCATCAAGGCCCTGAAGAACCACGAGGACAAGATGCGGGTGGTGCTGAACAAGGCCGACCAGATCGAGACCCAGCAGCTGATGCGGGTGTACGGGGCCCTCATGTGGTCCCTGGGGAAGATCGTGAACACCCCGGAGGTGATCCGAGTCTACATCGGCTCCTTCTGGTCCCACCCCCTTCTCATCCCCGACAACCGGAAGCTCTTTGAGGCCGAGGAGCAGGACCTGTTCAAGGACATCCAGAGTCTGCCCCGAAACGCCGCTCTGCGCAAGCTCAACGACCTCATCAAGAGAGCCAGGCTGGCCAAGGTGAGGCTGCCCCGGGGGGATGGGCAGAATGGGTGGCTGCAAGTGTTTGGGGTGGGGGTCAGCTGCCAGAGCTGCCTGAAACCTTGAGCATCACCTGCCCGTGTGAGCATGGCCTGCAGCTTCTGCGTCATGAGCGTCAGCCCTGCCAACACCGGCAGCCAGGGGGCAGGATACTGTGGTACATGTGACCGCAGGCCCTGGGCTCAGATGGCCAGACTGGGGCTCCACTCCACGGTTTGCAAACTGTGTGATCCCACCCCCAGCACCGTGCCTGTTTCCACGCCTGTGAAATGAAAGGTTGGAGGATATCGTAGGGTAAGAGTGTGAGAGCCTTCATTTCTGTGCGTGTCCTCAGAAGTGCTCAGTAGATGTCAGCTATTGTTACTGCCTTCCTCCTCAACATCATCACCAGTATCACTGCCTTGACCTTAACCTCCCCGCAATCTCGCCTTTCCCATGTGATCTAGAAAAACAGCTCAGCACTGCAAGCAGGGTGAGAGCAAAAGGGCAGACGTAGAAATTATTTCGGAAGCAGGAGCAGGAGAAGGAGGGGTCTGTGGGAAGACATGGGTGCGAGCCACCTAGAGGGAAGCAGTGGGTCGAGGCCTCGATCTGGAGCGTGCTCTGCCCCCGTTTCTAGGTCCACGCCTACATCATCAGCTCTCTGAAGAAGGAGATGCCCTCGGTGTTCGGGAAGGACACCAAGAAGAAGGAGCTGGTGAACAACCTGCCCGAGATTTACGGCCGCATCGAGCGGGAGCACCAGATCTCGCCTGGGGACTTCCCCAACCTGAAGAGGATGCAGGTAACCGGGGTCTGGGGCCCCCGGACAAGGGACAGTGTCACATGAGCTGGCTGAGCAGCCTGAGTATGGAGGAGGCCACCCAGGGAGATGCCCTCAGCCTGTCCTCCCTGTTGGGCTGTCACTGGCCCAGCAGGTGTCATATCTGGGCCTGGGGAGAAACACAAAGCCCCAGTGATCCAAGTGGGAGAGGGGTGTCCCGTGATGTTTGGGGTCTATACATCCAGTTTGTGACCTTCCCTAGTCACAGCCACCACGTCATGTGAAATGGGACAAGTCTCCAGCCCTCAAGTACTTATGTTTACCTCTGAGTTTCTACTTAGGGGCGATTGGGGACACACACACTGAAGAAATCCGCGCAGGAGCTTGCCATCTTTGGAGCCCACCATGGGCCCCTCTCTTGAGCCAGGGACCGTCACACAGGGTTTCTCATGTCATTCCCCAAAGCAGTCATCTGTAGGAGGCCTTTCACCCTCCTTTTACAGATCAGCAAACTGCAATTTGCAAAGGTAATTCACCTTTGCGGTTAACTGACTGCAGTTTTCTGAGTGTAATATTCACACAGGCTGCTGGTAGAAAAGCCAGGAGCTGTCCCCACAATTCAAGCAAGAAACCACCTTACATACTAACTGAATCCTCTTTGAGCCTCTGTCTCTTCATCTGTAAACCAAGGCCCCAGAGCGCCCAGCAAGGGACGTTGTGAGCATCGGTGAGATGATATTTTACAAGGTGCTCAGTNAGCCCAGTGAGGGACGTTGTGAGCATCGGTGAGATGATACTTTACAAGGTGCTCAATACAGAGCCTGGCACCGAGCCTGCCCTTGAAATGAAGTCAGGTGGCACTGCCGGGGGAGGCTGGGGGTTGAGCAGAAGGGACCTACTATCCATACAGTGTTTGTAACTTCCCATGATTCTGTCATTATTTCAGAGTATAGTGTTTTTAAAAATTGGGGAATTCGAGAAAAATGGCAGATGTAGCAGTGATATTGCTTTTGCTCTTGTTGCTGACTTTGATCCTAAGCTTGGGAAGCAATTTCTCGTTCAAGACTGAGGTTTCAGAACTCCCTATAGCCCCAAACAGGCAATTTTAGTTTCCTATCTGATTAAAAAAAATACACATTCAAAATATACGCTTGTTCATATACCCATTCATTCCTGTAACCACGTACCATGAGCTAGTCACTAACTTCAGAATTACTGTAACGTAATTTGTGTTTCTCAGTCGGCTGTGGCCTGGAACATGTCAGCTCTTAGTTTCTCTTTCTGTTAAGAATTTAATGATCTGTAAGCAAACATTTGGGAAGATGACATTTGAAAGGGACCGTACAACCCCCTTTTTTAATGGGAGGAATTCTTTCACAACATAAATGATTTCATGTTCTGTTGTTGGGTGTGCTGAGTCAATAATGTAAGTATCTTCCCTTTGGGGAAATATGGGGGGGCATCTACTGTGCCCCTGAAAGATATTAGGAACCCATCAGACACACCTAGCTGTGGACAGAGTCAGGATGGACCTTGGGAGGTTATGCCCTGAGGTCAGGGGGCAGGAGCTAGTCTGCTGCTCCCCTCCCCTCC